TTCTTGGTTTCCTATAAAGCTTATTCCTCATGTTCTACTACTTTTCTAAGTACCATTATCTCTATTCCTCTGCCAGGAGTCAAGGTTATTCATTTTATTTTAACCTAGCTGAAAACCAACAATTTTGATATTTTGTTTAATATAAATGTTTAACAAGATTTTTTAAATGCATAACAAAAGAATTCCAAAATTTGTAAAAATACGTACACAAGGAAATATATTATGAAACAGAAACTCAGTAGAAAAAATCAGTATGACCCAATCAGATCTAGAATATACTACAAAGCAAAATTAATCAAAACACAATGATAGAAAGTGTAAAAATGAATTTAGAAAGTAGAACACTCTAAGGAGCCCAGAAATAGACCCAACTGTTTATAGGGTGCAAGCAATTGTTCAAAATTACAGAACGGGACACAGGTTAAGTTAATAGTATTATAACTTTCTTAAATTTTTTTTTAAATAGCTGAAGCCATAAAATGCATAACACGCTAAATTACTTCCAGATGTGTTGATTATTCTTTTTTAATTGGCAAATTGTCAGAAAACAGAGTAGAGCTCTCTTATCACTTGTAACAGCTTGCTAATGCCAACCTTGCTAATTTCACGCTCACTACGCCATCTTCTGTTTACAATTTAATTCCCCAAGCAAACCTGGCATTCAGGAAGAGAATGGGCCACTCAATCACTTAGTAAGTATGACTACCAGGCACTGTGCTGGGCACTTGGTTGAACAATGTGATGAAAAAACAAATATCCACCAGTATCTTTCCCTTGCAAGTTAGCAGCCAAGTGACAGAGACAAACATCACTTCATCTTGAAAGAATGCAACAATGCTTCTTTCCACATCCATCTGGCTTTTCTCTGCCAGCATGGTGAGGTTGGTAAGGTGAGGCTGCACCTCTGGGACAGGTCTGCACAGCACCCCATGGAGACCTGGCAGCACCATGGCCAATACCCCCATCTCCTCCCAATCTGTATGTAGCAGGGCTCAGACTGAGAGTCAGAGATCAAAATGGCATGAACATTATGTGTGTAACTATAAACAAAAATGTGAACAAAAGCACAGACAAAAGACCAGAGAGGAAAATACAAAATTAAGATAGCAAAGACATGGTGTATGAGTTAGCCCAGGCTGCCATGACGAAATACCATAGACTGGGGGGCTTATACAACAGAGATTTCTCACAGTTCTGGAAGCTAGGAAGTCCAAGATCAAGGTGTCGGCAGGGCTGCTGTGTCCTGAGGCCTCTCTTCTTGGCTTGTTGATGGCTTTGCCCTGCATGCATAGTCCTGGTGTCACTTCCTCTACTCATAAGAACCCAGTCAGACTGGATTATAATCTCAGCTTTATGGCCTCAGTTAGCCTTAATTACCTCCTTAAAGGCTCTATCTCCAAATACAATCACATTCCAAGGTACCAGGGGTTAGGCTTCAACATATGAATTTTGGGGGCACACATTTCAGCCCATTGCATGCTTTGTGTTGTTGTTGTTGTTTTGTTTTTTAGGTAACATTTTCTCCCACATGACATGTCCCAGTGATGATAATGTTTCATAATTTTAAGAGAGTGTAATTGATCTGAGGTGACACAGAGTACTGTAAACTCCTTCCCAGGTTACAGGACCATGAGCTCCTCATGACAGGAACTTGCCATGATTATCTTTACTTTCCCTGCCTCAGACCCTGGCCACAGAGAGGGCTCCGAGAGCCTCTGTGGAGTGGATGGGAACATTTATGTCAGACTATTCTAATACCTCAGGGGTGGCCTCTTGCCCCCCACTCCTTTTCTTCGTCAACTCATCCTTTGTTTTGCCATAAGAGATGAGTGATAAAAACATCATCACATCGGCTAAAAACAAAAATCCAGATCCATGCTATAGAAAAAGACTTAATTTGAAGCCATGTATACTATATCTTTTATGATCAAAAATATGAGCAAGTGGGAGTGAGAAATGTCTTGAAGGCATCGTTAAAAATTCACAGTATCAAGAATATGAAAAATTATCTTCATAGTAAAGTGAACAGTAAAGCAAACTCATGGCAAAGTTTAAATGGATGAGGATTAAGTATAGCAGAGCTTTTGTTCTGGTTACTTTTTGGAAAAAAGTAACGACTTATAAAACTATGTGGCATCACTTCAATTTTTAACTTACTCTTCCAGGTAATCTTATGAAGCATTTTCCATTTTTGTTTTGTTGCCTTTAATAGTGTGTTTAAATTGTCAAACATGCTTCCCCCCTCCCTCCACCATACCACTTATTTATCATCTAATTGGTTTGCAAATATCTATGTGCAGAACTAAGAGTGATCATGGTACCTCCATGGTGCCTAATATAGATGGCGGGCTGATGGGTGTAGCAAACCACCGTGGCACATGTATACCTACGTAACAAATCTACACGTTCTGCCCATGTATCCCAGAACTTAAAGTATGATGATAATATAACAAGAAATGGTGGGTGATGTCTTCACAACATATCATGCTTCCACACTCTTTCTGATAAAATTATACACTAATGCTAATGATATATTAAAGGACAATACCAAAAAGCCAAGGCTCAGGTCTAAAAGGAGATGGATATTTTTACAGAGCAGTCACAGAGTACATACACGGTGTGCGGGAAACGCCATAGGGCTGCAGGGAAATGGACCCAGTAGCAGGGATGTGGCAGCAGGAACTTGGCCTCTGTGGAGAATAGTCTTACATGTTTTCATGTGAGATAGGGAACTAAAACCAGGCTCACAGCATAAAACTAGGGATTGGAGTATAGCACTCTGCTTATAGAAGCTAAAAAACCCAAACGGCCAAAAATCCCAAACGGCTACAATTGCTGCTTGAAGCTGTGACTCATAACAAGCAGGGTGCCTCATGAGAAAACGAAGTTCCTGCTTTGCAGCCAGGAACTAAACCAAGTCCCCCACAGCTTTCTCGACTGTATGGCAATATCTTGACATCAAAAAAAAATTTTTTTTTACTTGTATAAAAGATGCTGATGGAGGTCAGGAGCGCATTGCCTTGTATCGCCTTCCAAGGCCACATCCTGTGTGTGCACAGGATGGTGGATCAGCGTAGATGAAATTAAAGCAACTACTTCATTCTTTACAAGAGATCCACCTCTACTCATCATAGGAAAGAGCAAGCTGAATTCTTTAGGCCTGATTTGTTTAGCACAAGTTTTCAAATTTGGGGGATTCAAATAATTTTTTAACATTGAATTTCATGTGTTTAATGCTGAATTTACATATTCTTAAAGTACTTGAATTCTAATTCTCCCAATACCTTTTACTTGTAAAATCATTTCTTCTTTGGAAAAAAAAGAGTATGTCTTTTCTAGGTTTATGTATAATTAGAAAAAGGACTGAAAGGATAGACACCAAAATAATGTAGGATTTAGGGAGTATTTTAATATTCATTTACATGTTCAAAACATCTTAATGAGCAGGTATTATTTCATAGAGAAAAAAACTTTTAATAACATTTTTCAAAGAATGAGTTTGACAGACTTTTTATGCACAAGTCAGATTTTCACCTAAAACCAATGAACATAACCTCAAAATAGTCATATGTCTTCTAAAATAATAGATTCAATATGAAACAGAATGTTCTCTCTTCTCTTACCATGCCCTTCCCTGGTATCCTAACACTATTTGGAAGATGCAAGCCTAAGACAATGAGGCAAAGGGGGAAAAGAGAGATGGAAATGAATCTAGAAAACGGGAGGCAATGTGCTCGTAGGGTACTATGCTGCTCACCACCTCAAATCACGT